CTATAGCACTGTTTCAAAAGCTTATAAAATTTTTCAACCACAAACTGGAAAACTTGTTATAAGCAGAGATGTTCACTTTATGGAAGATGAAGAATTGAATTGGGATAAGTCAAAGGAAATCAGCCAAATCGTAACTGATCCGCAGCCCAAACTTCCCACTTCAAGCATGGATGAAGGAGAAAATTGGCAGAATGAACTGGAGGAAGATGCTCCTGTAAGAGGTACTAGACTACTCACTGACATTTATGCAAGATGCAACATAGCTGTATGTGAACCTGCAGATTTTGAAGTTGCTATGAAAGATAAAAATTGGGTGGCTGCAATGGAGGAGGAGTTATCCATGATTGAGAAGAACAAAACATGCGAGTTGGTTGATCGACCCCGAAACAGGAAGGTAATTGGAGTCAAATGGGTGTACAGAACAAAGCTTAATGCCGATGGCTCAATTAACAAGTACAAAGCAAGACTTGTGGTTAAAGGCTATGCTCAAGTTTTTGGCGTGGACTACTAAGATACCTTTGCACGAGTTGTTTTTTTGGACACCATAAGACTTTTACTTGTTATAGCTGCTCAAATGAATTGAAGAGTGTACCAGCTTGATGTAAAATCTGCTTTTCTAAATGACATCTTGCAGAAAGAGATATATGTTGAGCAACCCGAAGGTTTTGTGAAGAAAGGAGAGGAGGATAAAGTTTTTCTTCTCAAGAAGGCTCTTTATGGATTGAAACAAGCTCCAAGAGCTTGGTACATCAAAATAGATGAGCATTTGTTAAGCTTAGGCTTTAAAAAAAGCTTGTCTAAGGCCACTATTTATGTCAAAAATCAATTTAATGATGTTTTGATAGTTTCTCTTTATGTTGATGATCTTTTATTAACAGGAAATAATGTAAACCTGGTCGAAAACTTCAAGCAAGAGATGATGAAAGTGTTTGAGATGACAGATCTTGGTTTGATGACTTTTTTTCTTGGAATGGAAATCAGCAAGCCGAGCAAGAAGTCTTTATTTGCCAGAAGAAATATGCCAAGGCGATTTTGAAAAAGTTCAAGCTTGAAGAATGCAGGGAAACAAGCACTCCTATGAATCAAAAGGAGAAGCTATGTAAGGAAGATGGAGCTGATAAAGTTGATGAAAGACACTTTAGAAGTTTGATTGGTTGCTTGATGTAACTTACAGCAACACATCCTGACATTTTAAACGCTGTAAGTATTCTATCCAGATTTAAAATTGCATCTGAGGGCAGCCAAAAGTAATTCGATATGTCAAGGGTACAAGTGGTTTTTGTATTAAATTTACAAGAAGTAAGGAGTTCAAGTTGATCGGTTTCTCTGATAGTGACTGGCATGGAATTCAAAGAAGCAAGAAACAGTAGCTCAATCAACTGCTGAAGCAGAATTTGTTGTTGCAACAACTATTGTAAATCAAGCATTATGGCTGAGAAAGATTTTAATTGATCTTAATATAAAGCAGAATGAAAGTACTGAGATTTTTGTTGACAATCAAGTTGCTATTGCCATTTCTCATAATCTTGTGTTTCATGGAAAAACTAAGCGTTTCAATATCAAGTTGTTTTTTCTAAGAGAAGTTTAGAAAGAAAAATATGTGACTCTGACTTATTGCAAATCTGAAGATCAGTTGGCACATTTGTTCACAAAGCCACTTCCAGTTAGCAGGTTTGAATTTCTAAGGCAAAAAATTGGTGTTCGCAGCTCCTAAGACAAGGAGGAGTGTTGGAATATTTTCTTAGAACTGCCTAGGATTAAGGAATTAGTTTTATTTTCTTTAAATCTTGTTTTAAAGTTTTTATTTCCTTTAGCTATTTTTATGGACGTTGATTAGGAGCATTAATCACTTTTTTTTTCTCTGTTTTGTATTGGGAGGCAATTTAAAAAAGGTGCTGCTGTTTTTTTGAATGAAGAACATTCAAGCTTCTTCATATTTCTTCCTCCTCTTTCTCTTGTTCAAGAAACCTTCAATTACAACAAAATGTTTCTGAATGCTTCCACCTTTGGCATCATCAAGTACTCTGTGCTGATGGAGTTTCTTCTGTTGGTTCCAATGTTCACATGAAAGAACCCTGGGTATGTTGAATGGTATTTCACTAGCTGAAAATTGCATATATCTATATATATATATATGAAATCATGTTAAAAATATATATATTATCCTAGTAAAGAGCCAAACT